AAAAAAGAAAACCAAAAAAACAGGACCAAAAAAAAAAAAAAAAACCAAAAAAAAAAAAAAAACCTCTCCATGGCAGATCATAGTAAAAGCACTAAACTTTCAGAACAAAGAGACAATACTGAAAGCTGCAAAAGAAAAACAACAAGTCACATATAAAGGAAAACCCATCAGAAGTACAGCTGACTTTTCAGTGCAAACTATAAAAGCCAGAAGAGCCTGGACCACAGTATTCCCAGTTCTAAATGACCACAGATGTCAACCCAGATTACTTTGCCCAGTGAAAACGTGTATTATAGTCGAAGGGGAAAAAAAAATCTTACATAAATAGGCTGAAGGAATTCATGTCCACAAAACCAGCCCTTCAGAGAGTATGGAAGCAATACAAAGAGCTGAAGAAAGGAATGACTATACCCAAGCGGTTATGGAAAAATCTTAATAAAGGTATAACTGTGGAAATGCACAGCTACACCAAGAATGTGAGCAGAAATAAAAAGGACAGGAAGCAGTACACATCTTTCATTAATAACTTTAAATGGACTGAACTTCCCAAGTCAAAAGACACAGGCTAGTTGAATGGATAAAGAAACAAAACCCTTTGCTGTCTGCAAGAAACTCATCTCACTTTCAAGGACAGGCACTACCTTAAGGTGAAAGGATGGAAAAAAACATACCAAGAGAATGGTACTAAGAGAAAAGCAGGCATTACAATTGTAATATCTGACAAAATAGACTTTAAAACTAATCAGAAGTGATAAAGAGGGCCACTTCATTCTGATAAAGGAACTAACCAAGATGATACTACAGTCATGAACATAAATTCACCAAACCAACTTCATAAAAACAGTACTGCAGGACTTTAAGACCCAGATTAATCCCAACTCATTAATAGTGGGGGACTTCAATACCCCATTGTCTCCATTAGATAGGTCAACGGGACAGAGAATTAATAGACATCTGAATTAAACAATACCATACATCAAATGGCCTAACAGACATCTACAGAATATTCTACCCAAGCACCAAAGAATATACTTTCTATTCAGCACCCCATGGAACTTTCTCCAAAATTGACAAAATACTGGGGCACAAAACAAACCTCAACAGACACTAAAAGACTGAAATAATCCCATGCATCCTATCAGACCACAGTGGAATAAAGCTTTAAATCAACACTGGAAGAAACCATAGTAGCTACATGAACACATGGAGATTAAACAACACACTCCTGAATTATGAATGGGTCAAAGGAGAAATTAAGAAAGAAATAGTTCATTAGTTCCTGGAACTAAATGAAAAGGACAATACAACACAACAAAACCTCTGGGACACATTGAAAGCTGTCCTTAGAGGGAAGTTTATAGTTCTAAGTGCCCACATTAAAAAATCAGAAGGAACACAAATAAATGACATTACAACTCAAGACACTTGAAAAGCAACAGCAAATGAAGCCCAAACCCAACAGACAAGAAATAACAAAAATCAGAGGAGAAATTAATGAAATCAAAACAAAACAATATAAAGAATCAATGAATCCAAGAGCTGGTTCTTTTGAAAAGATAAACAAGATTGACAGACCATTAGCCCAGTTAACCAAAAGAAAGAAAGAGAACCTCAAAAAAAAAAAAAAATCAAAACCAGAGATGAAAGGGGAGACACCACAACAGACACCAAAAAGATCCAGAACATTCATTATAAGGGAATACTTTAAAAACCTATACCCTACTAAATTTGAAAACCTAAAAGAAATGGATGGGTATCTAAAAGCATGGGAACCACCAAAACTAAACCAAGAAGTAATAACAGCTTAAACAGACCTATAACACATAAGGAAATTGGAACAGTAATATGAAATCACCCAGCTAAAAAAAGCTCAGGACCAAATGGATTTACAGCAGAATCCTACCAGACATTTAAAGAAGATCTACATCCAATACTACTTAATTTATTCAAAAAGATAGAAATGCAGGGAGAACTTCCAAATTCCTTCTATGAAGCCAGCATCACTCTAATACCAAAGCCAGGTAAAGATACAACCAAAAAAGAAAACTATAGACCCATATCCTTAATGAACATAGATGCAAAAATTCTCAACTAATAAAAGCCCAAGACCAGATGGATTTACAGCAGAATTCTATCAGACATTTAAA